ATGTTTGAAATAAGTGCTAGCACGTTACATATTTTAAATAAACACTTACATATACAGTCATGGCAACAAAGTCATACTTGGAAATGAAACACCAAGTATTGGATAAGTAGTTACAGTTGTAGTGGCATATTGAGCCAGATTGTACTGTCTCATCTGAGCCAATTCTGCATAGCGCTTCCTAATTCCATGTTCGGTGATGTCTTGTTAGGAGCTTGGAATCTGCTGTGACGGACTGTTTGCACGGTAGGAATTGGCAAACACTATCAGTCTCAGGTTCGCCCTCCCCTGTCCCCCCCTGGAGAACTGGCTTACCACCACGGCGCCATTCTCCTCCGAGAGAAATGCAATCGGGCTGAGTACACGTGGGGTTCAACACTACTGTAATGCCTTCACGCTTTAAAGAATGTCTAATGCAAATACGGCACAAGGAAAGGCTTTGATAGAGCGGGGGTGGGTCATGGGGTTCATCATGTCACTCTGTTTTTCTGTGTTTTGGAAATATTTCCTGAAAAACAAAATCTAGTCAGTTGAATTTTTCAGGTCAGCATAAAACTGCTTCCTTTCTGCCCTCTATAATTTTAGAGATGCAAATCTTGCTTAGTTAGTCACAATAATATTATATGATGCTGAAAAACCTGGACCTGAACTAATAATAGAAACTTCAAAATTATTTCAAGCCCCAACCATAGATTTGCTGGATAGTTCTGTCTTTGAAATCCGCTGATGTGGGGTGATATTTAATAAAGGATTCATAGGAGGCATTAACATAAAAAAAATCACACCAATACTCTTATTTAACCAAATTTAATAGCGAAGACATCAGAGTTATGAATTTAGACTCCAGATTTAAGGGAAAGGAAATAAGAGTGAATAGGGATAAAAGAGTACAGACAATTTAACTGTAAAAGTTTAACAAGAAGATATTCTTGAAAATAATAAAATAATAGTAATAACAATAATAATAAAAAGAATAGAGGTTTGGCAAAACCAAGGTATTCACAATAGGCTAGGCTAGGCGTCCAGCTCTGTGTCCTGGAGCAAAGGCCTCTCTGCAGGGCACGGCTGACTGCTGGTCTGTGGGATGTGTGCCCCGTCTCTGCGAGGAGCACCTGATCTACCTCAGGGGCTTACAAGGATGACGTAATACACGTGCAGGGGGCTATATAAATATGACCTACAAAAGGGACAGGCACGAGCGTGGTCACATAACATTGTGCCACTCCACCAATGCCTCACACGTCATTGCCGCAGCGCTCATTCACCCTGACTTGGGTTGTTTTAGACACGTCTGACTTCCTTGGTCTGAGAATGCCAAAGAGAAAAGAACAGAGAATCAGCTCAGGAAGAGGACGTTCTTCTCACTCTTCCAGCTGTTGCAGACCAGACCCCACTGCCAAGGGCCATCTTGTTGACAGAGGTGGCGGCTCCATTCTTAACTTCCTTGAAATTAGGAGACACGTAAAGATCTGAATTCCAGGGAATAAAACACCCTTCCTGGATCCCGCTGCAATGGGTTTGGAGTCAGAGAAGCCCAGATGAGGCATATAAGGCATATCACACATGAAGCTCTACAACTGCTGGCACGCAGTTAGCACCACACTAGATAACCAGCCACTGCCATCGGTTTACAAGCCAAACCACAGGGAGGCATAGGCCAGGAGCCTCCCAGCGTCGAGGCCTCGCCCCTCTCCCTACATTCTGGTGCCACTGGTGGGCTCTCAAGGCTCAGAGGATTCTACCATCAATGCCTGCTGCAGTGGGCCCTGCTCTGACACGAACACGTTACATGAACAGGCGGACTCCACGTCCCTAGTTCAGCTTTTTCCTGCCTTTTCTCTGTTTTCCTATTATTGTGGTTATTTGATGTAGATAGTATTTTTCAACCATGGTGCACATGGCAAACTGAGGACCTGTGAAAACATCCTGATGCCCTGGCCCCACACCAGACTGATTCATCAGAATTTCTGGGGGCATGAGCCACCACAATTTTTAAAAGAAGCTTCTCAGGTGATTCCATCCAGGGTGTAGCCCAGGTTGAAACCACTGTCTTGGAACGTGCAGACTGGTTTTCAAAGTCTACTGAATCAAATGACAGAGATGTTGCAATTTTTGACATCCGGCATTTCTGACATCCTTGGCTTTCAGAAAATTGGAAGGTGAGTCGATGTAATTCAGCAAACACGTCTCCCAGGGGCCAGGTCTGTGCCAGGGGCCAGGGGCGCAGCGATGGCAAAGGAGATGTGGACCCTGCCCTCGAAGGCCTCAGCTATCTCAGCTTCAGTATGAAAAGAGTGGGGAGGGGGATTTATAATTTGCATTGTGGTTGAGTCACACAATGACGACCCTGCAGAACTTTATTATGGGATTTTACTATTTCAAAATCGATGCCATCGCTGGTTAAGATTTTGGTGTTTCCTGTGTGCTGGCATTGAAAGAGGCACATTAGGTGCGTCAGCTCACTGAAGCTTCACCATGACCATATGAGGTAGATATTCTTATTGTTTCTCTTCCTTCCTTCCTTCCTCCCTTCCTTCCTCCCTCCCTCCCTCCCTCCCTCCCTTTTTTCCTTCCACAAAAGTTCTGATGCCTCCTACGGGCCAGGCGCTGCTTTAAGCACTTGGGCAGTAAAAACACAGATAGACCTGCCTTCAGGGAGTGTTCTATGAGTGGGGGTGGGGAAGAGAGAAACAGGATCCCTACCCCAAAAGGCAATCAGATTTCATGTTAGAAATGGCTAAATTCCAGGAGAAAAAGAAAGAGCAGAGCAGTGAAGGGGTGTGTGTGTGTGCAGAGCGGGGAGGCACTGGGTAAGTGCATTGAGACAGGAAGATATGAGCAAAGACTTGAACTGAGGAAGTTATTTATTCTACTCCACTAAAGATTCACCAAAGGCTACACACATGGTTCAGCTGGGATGCAAACCCAGATAACCTGGGAACCAGAGTCTGTTCTCTTTTATTTTTTAAATTTAATCTTTACTGTATTATTTCCATTACAGTTATGCCCCCGTACACCCCTCTCCCTCTCAAGCAATCACCATTGTCCGTGTTCATGAGTCCTTCTTCCTTTTTGCTTGGTCCCTTCACCCACTAACCTCCCCAACTAGCTGTTATCCTGATCTCTATCTCTGAGTCTGTCCCCTCCTTGTTCAGTTTGTTCATTAGATTCCACATACGAGTGAAATCATATGGTATTGGTCTTTCTCTGACTGGCTTATTTCACTTAGCATAATGTTTTCCAGGTCCACCCATATTGTCACAAAGGGTAAACTTTTCTTCTTTTTTACAGCTGAGTTGCGTAATAAATGTCCCATAGTTCTTTTATCCACTCATCTATTGATTGGCATGTGGGCTGCTACCATATCTTGGCAATTGTAAATAATGCTGCAATGGACATAGGGGTGCTTATGTTCTTTCCAATTAGTGTTTCGGGTTCCTTTGGATATATTCCCAGAAGTTGGATGGTTGGGCCAAAAGGCAGATGCATTTTTAACTTCTTTAGGTATCACCACACTGCTTTCCACAGTGGCTGCACCAGTCTGCATTCCCACCAACAGTGCAAAAGGGTTCCCCACTTTCCACATCCTTGCCAGCACTTGCTGTGTTTTGATTTATTGATGATAGACTTTCTCACAGGTATGAGATGGTATATCATTGTAGTTTTAATTTGCATTTCTCTGATGATTAGTGATGCTGAGCATTCTTTTCATATGTCTATTGGTCATCTGGATGTCCTCTTTGGAGAAGTGCCTATTCATATTCTTTGCCCATTTTTTAATTGGACTTTTTTTTGTTGCTGAGTTTTGTTAAGTTCCTTATAAGTTTTAGATATTAACCCCTTATCACATGTATCGGTGAATATGTTCTCCCATTCTGCGGATTCTCTTTTTTACTTTGTTGATGATTTCCCTGCTGTGCAAAAACTTTTTAGTTTGATGAAGTCCTATTTGTTTATTTTTTCTTTTGTTTCCCTTGCCTGGGGAGATACATCCAATAAAATATTGCTACGAGCAATGTCCGAGATTTTGCTGCCTATGTTTTTGTCCTACAATTTTTATGGTTTTGGGTCTAATATTTAAGTCTTTGACCCATTCTGAATTTATTCTTGTGTGTGGTGTATGAAGGTGGTCTATTTTCATTTTTCTGCACATATCTGTCCAATTTTCCCACCATTTATTGAATAAACTATCTTTAGCCTGTTATATGTGCTTGCTTCCTCTGTCAAATATTAATTGACTGTAAAGCTATGGGTTTATTTCTGGGATCTCCATTCTGTTCCATTGATCTATGTGTCTATTTTTATGCCAATACCATGCTGTTTTGATTACTATGGCCTTATATTATAGTTTGATATTAAGTAGCGTGATTCTTCCAACTTCATTCTTCTTTCTCAGGATCCCTGTTGCTATGCCAGCGTCTGTGTTCTTAAGCTGCCTACTACCTCGTCTTCCTAAAAGTATCTCTACTTTATAATAACTGACTTGCTTGCCCAGCCCTTTCAGCTCCCTGGCTGTCTTGTTTACTATGGAAATTGTCTAAGCCCAGTGCCTGCTACATCATAGGTACTTAATACATGTTTGATTGAAATGAATCATTTTTAATTTTAATTATTAACTAATACAAACTACCATGTATGACTTGAAGTATTTACTGTGTGATTACTGCATCCTGTCCACTCGCCAGGCAGAAGGAAAGTGCCGTGGGGGTGGGGATGCTGCAGACAAAGCCCGTGTGGCGTTCTGGATGCCCCATCCGTATTGTGTGAGGGAGAACAATGCCACTGCTCTGCCAGGGGAAACAGGTCTCTCCTCTGAATTAGGAGGATGGAGCAGGACAGGATATTGAATACATGGGGGACTCACATACAATTCAGAATGCTTCTAGGTGGAAGACTTCTTGTCACGAGAGCTCACACAATGTTATGAAGTCGAATCAGAAACTCCAGGGAAAGTTTTCTTAGGCTGCCCTGGTGTGAGAGCAATCTTTTGAGTATTCACTTACCTGTTGAAGTGGTAGATATCCTGTATGTTTCCAAACAGGGCTGATCTTTCTTCTGCCCCCAGAGGGAGTTTCGTTTGGTCCCTGATGCAGTCAAGGTAATCCTGCAAAGTCAAAGAGAAGGTTTCTTAGACACTGCTGTCCTCCTCTAAGCCACCTTTAGTTTGCAAGACATACTGTTCTATCACTGTCAAGTAATTATGATACGAATGGGCTCATTAACTCCACTATGAGAATACAGAGTCTCTCTTCTATTAATGATGATAATACTTAACATATTTATAGAATAGGGATTGTGAACAAAGAGTGTTGCATACATTAATTATCTGCCCCCCAAATGTATTAGAGCTTTTCTATATGGATAATATAATGACTACAGTTATCAATAATATCAGAGTTTTGACATAAAAATATCACCTGCTGTTTCCTTGAATGATATGATATGAGTCTATGATATGGTAGAAGATACTGCAAAATTCATAGTGAAAAACCAGAAATGCAGATCTTAAAATTTCTCATCTCAAGAAAGATAACTTGTAACTACATGAGGCAATGGATGTTAACTAAACTTATTGTGTTTAGTTAACACACTAAATACACTTAACACACTATAACACTATATATATGTTGTACACCTTAAACTAATATAATGTTATGTGTCAATTATATTTTAATAAAACTAGAAAAACTGACAAGAGTTGATTTAAATATAACCCTTAAGTTAGGAAGAACTCAGTTGTAAAAGTACAGAACTAAAGCTTCCCCAAATACCAATGTATGTAAAAATTTTTTAAAAAAATACAGTACATAACTCCCTTAGGCTATCTACTAGGCTATGCTAATGACCCATGGGAAACTTTGAAATGATTTTATTTGCTTTAACACAGAAAGAGCTGCAAAACAGGGCTATCTGGGGCTCAGGCCCACAGTGGGTTAAATGAACGTGCTTTAGGAGCTATCTGAATTGCTGGGAGAGGGAAACTCCTTCCTGCCCGGGCAGTAAAGAGTTCATATCGGGCGCCCCCCTCCCTTCGACAATGCTTGAAAAGAGAACTCTGTAGGAGGCAAGAAGACAATAAAGAAAAAAGTGAGCACAGCTGAAATAATGTAAATTTTAAAAATCCACGCAGTTCCCTGCCCTGAACGTGCACGGCGGCCCTCTACGGAATGCCATGGGGCTTCGGCAGCGTTTGGAGGAAGTACCCCTGGGACAAGCCAGGCAGCCCACGAGAACCCCAGCACTCAAACCTCATTCCAAAGCCCCTTCCCAGACACAGTAGGATTTAGGGGCAACTAGCGAAAGGCGAGTCTGAAATTGAAGAACCATCAGATAATTGTTTCTTCTAATATCCCACATGCATGCTCTGGTGTGCTTTATGCTCCGCAGATGAAACAGGCAGGGTTTCACCATTAACTTTCTCAGTAGCACATTTGACAGAGGGCATCAAATAACTTGAGAACATTCTCGTTTTTTAATATTAAGATCATTGTCATGCAGGAACCAATTTTCATTTTTTTTTGAAATAAACTTTGTGGTAACATCTGTTCTTCTTAAGAAGGTGGTCATCTCAGTACGAAGTTAGAGTCACAAGATTTAAGTGCAGTTGTCATTAAAAACCCACAATAGCAAAACCTCGTCTCCTTACTTTTATGAATGGAACAATTGTAAGAGGCTTACATACCTGCATAGGATACAGAGTTAGTGCCCAAATAAGAAATGCTGAAGGTTAGAATTGATGTAACAGCATTTTGAACATGTAAAACCTAAATTACATTTCCTCAAAAGAAAAAAAAAAACAACCCAATATGGATTCACTGACATTTTCATAAAGTTATATATGGTCCCAAAGGATGGGCTAGCATTGAACTTGCACTGAATGGTTACATCAGACAGTTGCTTAATACTTTAATCAGAGTTTTAAAAGGACAAATTGTCCATAAAATTAAGAAGGTAGAGCGGAAGGATGCGAATGGGTATGAAATTAAAAGGTAAATCAGAAAGCCTTGGATAAGCACACCCTGCACCAGAGTGCAGGGCGAGGGGCGGGCCAGAGGTGGCGCCCGCGCGCCAAATCCCCCGCGGGGCTGCGACGGGATTTAACTGGGAAAACGAACAATCCTTTTTCTCGCTTCAAGTGCGAAGCTTGCTCATTTGCAGAAACCTGAAACTAAATTCTTCATGTGAGGGAAAGATTGAGTTAAGGGGCTTGAAGAATTTCATCTGGGGTGAGAGACAAAGAGCCGTGGCCCCCTTCCAACAAGCACTGGCCCATCGCCAACTGAAAGCGTTTCAAAACCCCAGTCTGTGGCGGAGAAACTGGATTGTAAAAGCTGCTTGCTCTGAAATGGTTGAGAAAATAGATCGTCAGGAGTCCAAATTTTTGTAGGCCACTCTAGAAAACAGATCAAAGTCGTATGGCCACAACTTGTTCCCCCCGTGGATCATAATTAAGTCCTTTAAATATGATACTTTAACCCTAAACCAGTTACTGAAAACTACTGTAGCATGCACTGCATTAGCAGCTGTAATCATCTGAGGCCAAAATGAGAGGTTTGGAGCTCAGTGATAATAACAGCTCATTCTGGGCTCAAATGACAGAGGAAAGACACCAATGAAATGTATTAGAGCCTGTCATGCTGCTTATTAATTTTATTGGCTTGATGTTAGTGCTTATTGCTACCCTACTGTTAACAGTGAGGGATCACTTTAAAACTTTTGCTTTGAAAACAATTACTCTCCAAGAGAATCAAGAATTTACTCTACTTTGGGGAGATACGCACACAGAAGAACTTTTCACCATTTGAATAATTTTGTTATATAGTTTTAAATGTTGCCTAGAAAGTATTTATTTTTCTATTAATTTATGCCCTTAACATTCCCACCATTGTAATATTTGTACGTGAGTGTCCTCCTCTCATTAACTTTTTCATTCCTTATAATGTCTATTATTGAAAATATATGATCATCTAATTTGGTGCCCTTTGAGGTGTGGTAAGTGAACAGGAGCCAGTTTGCAAACTATTGGTTATTGACCTGCACCAAAGTGCAGAAATCAAGAGAAAGCATGCAGAAACTTCACTTGACCTTAGCCAAAAGGCCAAGAAGCGATAGCAGGTAGAAATTCTTACAGCATTTTGACAGAATGTGGTCTGTTGAATCTAATGAGAAATTTGGACTTGTATTTTGCATGTCCGATTTCTTCTGTTTTATTTTTCTAGTAATTCTTTTTATTATTGTATTTTTCGAAAGTGTCAGTGTGTGAGTGATTGGGAAACACACACGTGTCCCTCATGATAGACAGTTTGAGAAGCCCTGGCCTGTATAACCACCCAGCAGAAATGTTCTAGAAACCAGGGAAGAGGCCCTGGCTGGATAACTCAGTTGGTTAGAGCATCATTTCATTACACCAAAGTTGTGGGTTCTGTCTCTAGCTCATACAACAACCAATGAATGCATAAATAAGTGGAACAACAAATAGGTGTTTCTCTCTCTCTCTCTCTAAAAATCAATATACAAAAAAATGTAAAAAAATAAACTGGGGAAGAATTCAGATTTAAATTCAAAAAGGTTCTGTTCATAAATCTTGCTCACATTTCAAAATTCTACCCATTGATTTCATGGTTTAATCTTTTTCATCTAATCTCTGTTGTTAGCATTTCCAAATCCAAGCCTTTTGATATAACTCGTATTTAAAACTTCCAGCTTTGTTTCAGGGGAAGCACCCTCTTCTGTTTCTCCATCCCCTCTACCTTTTTCTAGAAACTAGTTATCTCTTTATCTAAAAACCTGCCTTCCAAATGCCACGTATTACGTGGGGATGCCACGAACACTACAGTGACTTACACTTGTACATCAACTTACAGTTTAAAAGCACATTCAAATTCATGCATGCAAACCCTCCTCCCCACCTTTTTTGAGGACACGAGAATGCATGCCAACTTCTGTTGTACAAGCTAGGAATTAAAAAAAAATGAATAAAACATGATCCCTTCCCCCAAGGAGCTCCCTGTGTAGTTGAGAGACAAGTGTAAACAAATAAGTGCAATCCAGTGTTGAGGCCACAGGCTGGTAAATATTCAGTACACAGGAGGGTGGAGGCCAATGAGGCAGTAGTCACTTCCGGGGCAGGGAGAGGCTTTATAGGGGAGGTGATAGGAGAGCTGAATCTTTAAGGATGGCCAGGAGTCTGAAAAGAGAGAAAGGAGTAGGAAGGACATGACAACATCCAGAAAGAGAGAAAAGAGTAAACAAAGGCACAGGGTCGTGGAATGTGGGGAGGGGGTGTGGGAGCAGCCAGGACACTAACAGGAGTCCCATGGGTTACAGAGGGCAGGGCACACACAGGTGCACACAGGCCTGGAGGCGCGGCTGTCACAGGAGTGAGGACAGGACTGATCAAGGAGGACCTTCCGTGCTTTGCAGGTGGCACAACCACGAAGGACGTAATGAGACCAAAGACCATCCCAGCATCAGTGAAGAAAATACAACAAAGTGCAGGTGGGGAGGCAGCTAGACTAGCACAGCAGCGCAGGTGAACTCAGACCAAGTCGTCCACGAGCTCCGTGGGGAGGAGAGGGGCTGCCCCGGGCAAGGGGTGTGAGAGAAAGGCGCTGGTCCAGGGGGAGAGCTGCAGTGTAAGTGACCGAGGGACAGCGCTGGCTTTCAGGAGAAGGGAGTCTGGGCTCCTCTCTCTTCTCTCACTTCCCACTTCAAAGACAAGGGTGCTGTTCCCCTAGCTTCCAGCAAAGACAGTTTTCTCACTCATAGGGACGATTAAGTGATTTAAAAGGCAGCGAGACCCATCCCTTGTCTGGTCTCCCCTGTGGCTGCGGGTGGAGAGAGCCGGCTGCTCCCCCTGGGGAGAAGGACCGCCCAGCTCTCATCCTTCCTTCTGTTTCTCTTTCCCAGGGGGCTGGGGAGGCCAAGCGTGAATCTAGCGCTGCTTCTGTGGCTGAGACTGCGGAGACCTTGGCGATGGGCTCTGGGCCTCGCCGGCTCGCTGGTCTTCCTCACACCCAGATAAAACACTTAAAGACACCTCTGGGGGTTCGTGGTGAACAGGAGACAAGGCCTGTCTTTGGCCTAGCTCGTCCAGATAGCAGA